GAAATAACATGTGTTCCATCAGGAATTTCATAAGAGTCTGAATATGATCCATGCTGAAATTTAAGGAAGCTCTTAAAACTAGCTTGAGGTCAAAGTATGGCATTTAGATGCTGTGTTTAACATCATTTTAAGCTGAAAAGCTTATTCATGATCCCCAAACCTTTAGCTCCAGCTTTTGGAAAGCTTAAAAAAAAAAAAAAGAACGAAAAAAAAACCCAACCCACCCACACACCTTGAAAATGAGAGCTGATAAAAGCAGGTCAGGCATACCGCCTTACATCAGCTGGTTGAGGTGATAATGATCTGATCCTCAGCACTCAGCAGAGGTGCATTTTAGCTGCTTAGGCTATTTAACCAAGTGACTTTATCGTAACACTACAACCCACATAAAGCTCACAATTTTTTTTATACTTATGTTTTTTGATGTTTAGGCCAAAAGCAAGGATACATTCATCTGTTTTGTTTTGTTTTTGTCTATTCTTTCATTTTTTTTTAAGATTAATTATTGTTATAAAATATTCATAACTGGTTTCTGGGAGCTCAAAGTGGCTCTTCAAATATAAATTTACTTACAGAAGATAAACAAATACAACAAATAAAGAAGCTTAAACTAGTAAAAACAGTTTGTTTTTTTTATTAATCAGTTATTTCATTAGTTAGATATAATTTTTAAACATACCAGATTCTATAAGTAACATCTTTAAACTTCATGCAGATATTTGCCTGACCGTCTCAGACTTCTATAGACACACCACACATGTACATTTACTACAGTTGCACTACAGTTACAGACACTTGTTTCTGACCCAGGAGCAGGTTTGAAAAGTTGATTTTCTTAGTAAATGTGTATCATGCAATTGGTCCAGATTACACAAAACTCTGACTTTTTATATAACTGTGATCAAACGGTGTGTGTGATTTCCACAAAACTCACTGCATGTCACTGGTATCAAATCATTTAAAGTCCCATTACTCTTTAGCCCACGGGGTTTATTCAATCAGCTTTGTGTGCGTTACCTAAGGGTTTGTGAGCAATCATTGCTGATGCTTAGTTCATCAGGACGCAATGAGCTTTTCTTATAATCAATCTTCTTTGCTTTAAGAAAAGGTCAGAAGGTTTTTGTCTGGATAATAGCACAACTGTAGATGTATTTAAAGTTTGCTGAGAACGATGGAAATGCCTGTGTGCTCATCAGCTCTTATGCATGTCCTCAGGGTCTCTTTCTGTCTCTGTGAAGATTTAGCCCATTTAATATTTGCCATAGTGCCAAAGTGCATGGAGATGAGGACAGCTTGCATACAAACTTTATTAAAAGCTGTTCCTTGCTAATGAGCAAAGTGTATAAGGGAATACTCGGGTCATTTCGGTGCCATGTGCTCAGGTAAGTTTAGGAAAAGTTAACTTGTTATGAACTCTGCTGGTCTCTGCTGTGGTACTTAAATTGTGACTGTCTATCCAATAATTTATACAGAGTGTCTCTATTATTGTGTGTAGAATTCAGCAGATTGTTTGTAATTCAGTTGTTTTTATTATTGTCAAAAGGACTTAAGTCATCTTTTCAAGTCTGTTATAATTAAATATGGAGGAGCCACATAAATAATTGTGTGTCTGTGTGTGCAGTGGGAGCTTCTGTGGTCCCTGATCCTCCTCCTTACCTTCTGTCTCCTGCTTGTCTGGTTCTACTTCTGGTGGGAGGCACATAATGACTACAGCGAGTTCAACTGGTGAGTACAAAAGTGCCCCTATGTGTTGTCAGAGGCTGCCAGCATATAGTTTTGGCTGTAAACACATTCAAGCCTTACTTGTTGGCTTGTTGTTTTTGTAAACCATCAGTTTAACCTGTTTTCTGCCAGAAGCCTCAATTATACTTCCTGCACCTTCGATCAGCTATGGTCCGCTCAGATCTGACTGATGTACATTTCACAATCAGTGAAAAGCAGTGAGTGCAAGGGTCTGTAGGGACATCTGCCTGCTTGTTTTTGTTTTGTTTTGTTTTTTGTTTGGGTTTGTTTTTTTGGGTTGTTTTTTTTTTTTTTTTTTTTTTTTTTTTAGCATTTTGTGATTATGCAGTCTTGTCTGCGAATAATTTATTCTACAATGCACCAACTACACATGCACCACAGGCAACAAACTTTAAAGAAGTCAAATAGGAACGACCCTCGACTCTCCAGCTGTTCGTGTCTGCAACGGAGTATAATCAAGGCATTATTAATCTGAACAGAGACCACCCAACCCTGTGCAGATTACACCATTACATCACAGAGGTCCTCACCCATCAACTTCCTGTTTTGTACACCACTCAGTCCTGGGCCACATTTAATCAAACAAATGTATATTTGACAATATACATTTGTATTTGTTAACCCCCTACTGTTTTTTAGACAACCACTTACAGCTTCTCACAGAGCAGACACTACGGCCGCATTTCCCAGAAATTGGATTAAGTTTAATCCTAGACTAAAAGAAAAATTCAGTGAAGGCCTCCTGTGTTTATGGTTGAGGAATGGGTTTAATCAATGTCTGTGGAAACTGAGCCTTTTAAGATACTAAATGTTAACCGATTAGCGACACTGATGTTTCCATTTTAGTGCAAAATCTCTAAAGAGCATGCAGACATCACATGATTTCAGATGAAAACTTTCCCCTCCCTCTCCTCTCTCTGTTCTCCTCTCAGGGATCTCTGCAACAATGTCACCTTTTCCTCTTATTATCATCCGTTGCTTCCATTACCTTTCCTCGTTTCTTCACCTCTGTAGTTTTCAGTGATCTCCCAGCTCTTTTTTCATTTAGCCCAGCTTTTGATTCACAATAAGTAACAAAGCTAACTTAAAATGGGCCTAAAGGCCTCAGACTAGTTTTGGGTAGATTTTGTTTTTATTATTTTTTTCCCCACTCATGGTCCTTTGCAGTTTAACTGAAAGCAAATATCCCTAAAATGACCATCTTAGGTGCACAGCTCACCCATTTCCTGTTTAGATCGAGTTTGTGAGGGGCAGCCAGACAGTAGAAAGTTATATGAAAGGGAGCTAAAACGGGCTGTTCCAGACAGTGGTTGAACTGAGTGGCTGCACCAAGCCCAGGGCAGGATAAATAAGAATTATTTTTGAGTCATGCAAAACAACCCTAGTAGTATCCAAGAATATATGGAGCTATAGTAGACTACAATGCCCCCTGTTTACCTTTTGCTTTGGCTAGGTTTGCCATCCTCTTTGGAGCTCTGCAGACAGTCCAGTTTTATCTGCTGTTAGTTGTGTGTATTTATCCACATTTACATCTCCAATAGACATTTGCCATCCCTCTTTATAGCAAATTTCCTTCTTTTTACCCAGCTTTTGTGGGATTTCCAGAGATGATCACAGCAATTGCAATCCCTGTCTTTATGACTGAGTGATTTAGCTGCAGGGAGTATCTCTGTCCATGTGTAGCATAAAAAGCATTCACAAAGGGCTGAGGAGCATCTGCACTAAGTGACCCTGCTGTGGCTCTATGCCACTAGAATCATGCACAAGGCTTTGAATGTAAAGGACCTAGCTGTCATTTAAAAATGTGCACACCCACACCCAAAGAAATGCACAGAAACAAATACATTCAGGCACTTCGTCTTTTCTCTGCAGCTGTGGACCTGGTGTTACACCCAGTGTCACTCTTCAGAGGATTAAAACTCAGAGTAGCATGCGTATATTTTTATGTGTCTATATATAGCTATATGTAGTTGCATGTTATAGTAAAGCATCCCATAAGACAGAAGCCAGTCCTCAATAATTTGTCCAACCATCCATTAATAATGTTACATAATCTATTTTTGTCAGATTTTCCCTGTGGCACAAAAACAGTGTCTGTGGTCACTGTGCAGAGTCTGTGCATTATTGTTGCTAACACTAAGCTTGAGAGCACTTTATTGATGTCTGCCTGTCAAACAGAGACCTTTAGTAAACCAATAGTTTCCATTTTCAGCTTTTTACATCAATGTCATGTTTCAACTGTAGATTGCATCATTTTGTCTCTTTGTACAAGTCTGTTTCTTTGTGGACTTCTGCAGCTAATCTAACATAATGTTGTTGGTACTTTGTCAGTCATGTTTGTTTTGTAAGAAAGAAAAATGGCTGATAATAGGTGGGAGAAAATAGGGACACATATATACACTGACACTCTATTCTCACAAGCCTTCACACACTTTTTTTATCAGGTGTGATGAAGACAAGAAATGTTGTTATCCTTGTTTCTGCAGGTTCCTGTACAACCGCTCTGGGGAGTGGAGTGATGGCACTGTTCCCATCCTAGCCACCACCGCTGCTGGCTTCACCTATATTGCTTTTCTAATTGTGAGTCACAGATCGCAATTGCTTCGTTGAAGAGATTTTTAAATTGTCTTTATGTGTTGCCAGATATGGTAACCACTTACATAACAACGGTTAACAAGTTGAGATCTGTAAGGCAGCAGGCTTGTTCTGAACCTTGTTCATGTTTCTTTCTGTCTTTCTCTTCAGGTTTTAGCACTTTGCCACGTTGCACTTGGGCAGCAGTTAAATTTGCACTGGCTTCATAAGGTAACATGCCAAATGTGAAGCTGAGCAACTGTTAATGTGTCTGTGTGTGGTTTGTGAAAAATGAGTGGTGGAAGGGGGGCGGGCGAGTTTTACATATGTATTTTTAACTCTGTTATGTGTTTACTTAGTGTTTGTGTGTGTCGCTGTGTCCAATCGTTGCTGATCAGCTGAACTTCCCAACTTATAGTGTGGAGTTGTCTCAGCAGAGTTGCAAAATCCCAGAAAACAAGCTGTTCAGAAATGCTGTCAGCAAATCAAATACAGTTACCAAACTCTGTTTGAAATGTGAAAGAGCTGCGAGCTACTCTGGGTTATTCTGGTGCATATGTGTGTCTAAACAAACAACCTCTTTTGGTCTCTCTCCCTCTTTCTCCACACAGATAGGAGTTACTGCTGCCTTGCTCACCACCATCATTGGGGTCATATCTGTCAATCAAACATGGGCGCAAGAGTGGGATGTCATCCCCATCTCCCTGCAGGTCAGCAGACTTAAATCACCCTAAACTACTTGTGATGGGTAGACATCACAGCTGGTGCTTAGGTTCCGTACTAAAGTGAGTGTTGTGATCCACAGGCGAGAGGCACCGTGTTGTTTTCACACAACAACCAACACTTTGACCAGAGGTTGTCGGCCTTGATATAATAATGGCTCAGTAATGGAGCTCTAATCAGTTTTCTTTCACAGAGACAGCCAGGGTGGACTGAAGTGTCTCTCCTTTGTAGTGCTGTGGAGGTTCGCACATGCCCATTTAAACTGGTGTAATTCCTACACTACACATCAGTGTCTACAGCAATCAGTCCATCTTATACATCCATATACAACTTTTTTTTTTTTTTTTAATGTCCCTTTAAAATAATCGTTGTGTGTCTGCTGTAGCAGTTGATACTCTGCTGGTTGCCATTTGGAGGAATGTGTAATCATGTAAACTGTCTATGCAGTACTACAGCGACTACAGTGTCTCTAAAATTAAATTACATCAGAGAAGTTTAAATAACCTTATAGTTAGTGTGTCCGTTTGGGATTGTTGCACCACTAGAAATGTGTGATTGAAGTGGACACATGATTTCACTCCAACTGTGGCCATTAAAATTAAATGCCAGTACAAATTACAGCTATTATCTCTAAATAGTGCTGCCAGTGCTTCAACTCCAGATAATATCTGTAATTCCATGTCTCTCTGTCTTCCTTGTCTTTGTTTCTCTCCTCCTCTACTCAATCGTTTACTCTCTCTAACCTTTTCTGTCTACCCCCGCATTCCTCTCTGTTTCACACCTCTGTCCAGGCTACAGGCCCGTTCCTGCACATCGGGGCTCTCGCCGCAGTCACGGCACTATCTTGGATTGTGGCTGGACAGGTCACCCGTGCAGAAAAAATGAGTATGTGTGCTTCTGTAACACAACATTCAAGTCCATTCTTACCTGACGTTACCATCAGCCACAGATCAAACACACAAACACACACATACACAGGAGGACTTGTGAATGATTAACACTATGTAGACAAGAGGCCAAGACCTCCACCCAGGGTGTCCAAGATAACGAACATTCCTCCAGTCTCATGTGATGTTTTCCACCCAGGACATTTTGAATTGTTTGTCCTTGATTTCAGGACTCTTTGTGGGGATCAGTAGCTCTGAATGTGTGCTCTGTCCTCACTCTCACTGCCACTGGTGTCTGTAAAGCAGACACCTAAAAAGAACTTGAAAGTCTTTGTGATTTATGATTTTGAGATTTTGAACAAGGGGGAGCCACAGTGTTAGCTACCAAAAAACTGATGCATTAATGGTATATCATTAACTGCTAATTACTTACAAGTTATTGTTTTTTCAAAGATAAATGTGTCTTTAGTGATAAAACCTGATACATCTAAATTATCATTGCTCAAGAGAATTTGCCCTTGTCTCTTTGAAAGATGGAAAATAACTCGCCTGACTGTTTAGTTGTTGGTTTTTTTTTTAATATACTTGATGAGGTGAAAAGGTCTTGGCAAAATTTCTCTTATTCAGTGCAGAACAGCAACTGAATATCAAAGAGGGTATGAGTGCGTGTGCGAGTGAGAGGGTGGATGAGGGTTGTGTGAGTCTCCTGTGTGTAACAAGAGTTGGCTACCGAACCCCGCCCCGGAGCTGACCTTGAAACAAATACATTCCCGTGTGTGGGTGTATGTGTGTGGGTGCCCACTTTCAGCCATCATTACACACTTATACAGAGTTGGACACAGGGTAATCTCTATGGCCCCGATGGATGTGTTGTTGGCCACTGTGTAGTTTTAAGCACTGTTGAACATTCAGATATTTACTGCCTTTGCACAGAGGTAACCGATTTTGGCGCACTCCTAGCACGTAGCATCTTTCACAAACTGTGTATAATGAGCTGTTTGGTGAGCTTTGGAGGTGCTGAATGGTAGATGTTGTATTATCCATTTCCCCTGTTCCAGTTATTATGCTATGCTCCTATTGGAGTGTTCTTACAGTCATCATCATAAAAGCAAATTTCCCCAAAGTCAAACTAGACTTCATTATATCACAGCTAATAACTGTAACTATGTTGATGCTGCATATCTTCTTCCAGTGTTCCAGGTGGTGGTGGTTTTGCTGTATGTCAGTGTGTTACTAGCACTCTACATGGTGCCCCTACATATCACCTCTCCCTGCATCATGGACCCAGCCACCCTCAAACCACGCCCTGCTGTTATTGGCCATCAGGGAGCCCCTATGGTGAGTCAGCTGATGCCCAGCTTCCATTCTGAATGAGAATTTAAAACAAAATAAATAAATAAATAAATTGATGTACATGTTTGTACAGTAACATACAGAGTCCTGATATTGGCTTTGCAGCAAGGCTCCCAGAGTCCCAGGAAAAATTGTGCTGCTTTATATTTTTATTTTTTTTATATTAGTCCCTTGTTTTGTTTTGTTTTTCTCACTTTTCTGAATGAAAAACAAAAGGACTGTGTCAGCATATTAACTTGTGATTGTGCAACTGAAAAATAGAAAAACTATGTGAGCTGGGAGCGCTCCATACCTACATTTTCTTCTGGACTGAGCTGTAACCCAGCCAAAGACAAAGTGTTGTTTGTAGTTTTTTTTTAAGCACCAGTTAGACTCTTACTTGGAGCTGGAATGGTTAGCCACATTAACATATGATCTGAACATATGAAAGCAAAGTGCATTTTTGCATGATTTATTTATGTGCTTGGGTTAATGCCATTGATTCTTAACATCACCTGCAGACAAATTTAAGCCCTTGGCAAAACATACTGTTGAGTATTACACAACTGTTAGAAGGAACGAGAAGATGGTTGTTCAGAACAGTTAGTCACGCACACGCTCAAAAACACACCCAGATTTTTGTGCTATTTGTGCAAGGCAATCGATTCTCACTGTGGAATCTAAATTTAGGAGTGGCTGTGGAAGGCTGTGAGACTCCCACTGGGAAACAGTGATCACATCACTGGACTCTTTGTCCCAGAATCACTCTGTATTGATTATAGCATCATTCCTTTCCTGTGGTTCCCAGGCAAGTAGCTTTACTCACAGGCTTTCATAGGATGATACTATTCTAGCAAGTGATGGTATGGTATTGATCATACCCTCGACCAGAAGAGTTAAAGGGCAAGCTGCAGCTGTGACTTTTTTCATTACACACAATCCTTTGTCCTGTTCACAAAATAATACACCCTCTGCCCTCTGAACACAGAGTGTGAAAGCTTTATAAATACATGTAAAAACTTGTTCTCTGTGTCATTTTCTTATCAAGAGATGTAGCTCCAACTTCAGAAAAGTCAGAAGTTAGGTTACATTGTTACGGGGCTATGTGTTAAAAAAAATAAATAAATAAAAAGAATTCTGTGCTTGTCCTTTACTGTGAGTGTGTTTGTAGCTTGCTCCAGAGAACACAATTTGGTCCTTCCAGCGAGCGCTGCAGATGAACGTCACTGGGTTGGAGGCTGACGTGGCTATCAGGTACGCACACACAATCAATACAAGAGAATGATAAAGCAAAGCAAATAAAAGGTTTAGTACCACCACCCCCACCCCCAGGCAGAAACAAAGGACACACACACACACACACACACACACACACACACTGGGTTTCATAGATTATCACAATCACTGGCTTTTCAAAAATTTCTCAATCAGTTCAGGACTACATATCACATTTAGACCTGCTTGGGATTTTGTTTTTTTGTTTTTTGTTTTTTTATCATTATTGTGTACTCCAAATACCAAAAGGACAATCTTAGGCATTATGCATTGAACATACCGCTGTTAAGTATAGTAGCAGTCCGTAGTTATCAATTCCTGCATGATTTTACCAACATAATAAATGAAGACGGGCTGAGCTCAGAGAGGCACACTTGGAGGAAGGCAGGAAATTGGGTGGGTGGATACTCCAGTGGCCGTGCTATATGATGAATAGTGGGTGCCCATGTCTACTCATGCATGTACGGCTATGAAGGATGAGTGATTGTGTGGAGGTGGAGAGTGATGCCGGCCACAAAGTGCGTGTTTGTGTTTTAGAGCCACATTTCATAGTGCAGAGTGTTTTAAGACCGTCAGTGCATCCTAATGTGATTAGATGTTTTTGCAGCAATCTTGGTGCAGTCTGTTTATGTTTGTGTGTGTGTTCACTGTACAGTCCTGAGAGAGGTGAATGGGTGTGTGATGTTCAGGCTGCTGACAGGTGGGCTTCTAACGGTGCTGAGTAATTAGACCTGATGACAGCCAGATCCACAAAGAGACTCCACTCCTGAAGCAGACTGGAGACAAATGCTCATGTGTGCACGCATTCATACTATATAACATGATTTTTATTTATTTATTTTTTTCCCCACACATGATGATGATGATGATGTTTTGGAAACTAACAGTTCAAACACAGACAAACACCCACCTATATGTGTTAGCAGAATATTTGTTAGTCAAATGCTTAGTTTGTTTTTCCCATTAGTATTTGAATGACAAATACAGAGAATGGAAGGGCTTTCTCCTTTTGTCTTTTCCTGGAAATGATCTTGATGTGAGCTCAGGTTTTTTTTTTATTATTATTTTATTCCCATATTGGTCAGCAGCAGCATTTTCCTTTTTTGGCACGATTTCAGTTCTTATCTCTTCTCTGCTATTTTTGGAACCTTCATTTCTCTCGTACACATCAGCTGCAAATATTAATTACTTAACTCTTTTGTTTGCTAGCACGGATGGTGTTCCTTTCCTGATGCGTGACTTTACCCTGCGAAGGACCACAGACGTAGAGAAGGTTTTTCCAGATAGACAGATGGACGAAGCCTCACTTTTCAATTGGACGGATCTGCAGCAGCTCAACGCTGGACGTTGGTTCCTCAAGGTAGCTCTTGGTTTCTAATAAGGACTACATCTGTGAATTTATTTTAAAGCAGTCTTAGCTTTAGCGTGCCGGGATGCACTGATGTGCAACAAAAGCCATTATCCCAGTGAGCCATAAGTACTATACGACATCGCACATTGATCATTCATGATGTCGTTGACTTTCATCAAAATGTTAACACCCACCAAAGCTTTACTGGGAGCTGCGGTGCGATGAGTGCCATGTTTCACTGTCATCCTCGTACATGAAACAGCCATCACTCAAGGACTGCTTTTCCATTAATCTGTCCATGTCTAAAAGTGCAGGTTTGTTGCTTTAAAATGTTTCCTTCTTTAGCTTAGATCTTATGAGATGAGACCATGATGTGCAAAGACTGAGATGTGGCTGTCTGTATTTGTTTGAATCTTCATTACTTTCCCCTCTTGTGTTTACACTGCATGTGTGCACACTGTGTGGATAGATATTGCATTTCTAAGAAAAGCCGTACCACCACTCCATGTAATTTTAACAATGATTTTTCATCACCTAATGTGTAGTGTATATATATTCTACAATATATAAAAGGCAGAAATGAAGTGTTTTCTAAAAACAAAAAAAAAGTGAAATAGCATCTTATCATAGAGTACAAGAATCTTCTCAGGATCTTCTCCAAAGGGAGTAAGCAGTGAAGCGAGAAATGTGGCGTCCTCCAACGATGTACTGAATGATCTTTTGAGTTTTCATGTTGATAAAAGTTTTATAAAGCTGTATTGTAACCTGTATTTTTCTTTCATTTAAACTGTAAAGCTGATGATCCCTTTTTTTTTTCTTTTTTGTGTGTGTGTGATGTTTCAGGATGACCCCTTCTGGACCGTGCACACGCTGCTTCAACGTGAGAGGGAACGGATCGCCAACCAGACCGTGTGCAGCCTGGAGCAGCTTCTAAAACTAGCCTCATATCACAACAGCACGGTGGTTTTCAGGCTGCGCAGACCTCCTCCCAAGCACCCCTGCTACGACAGCTGGATCAACGATACACTACAAGCTGTGCAGCAATCTGGGGTTCCTCAAAGCCTGGTAGTTATATAGGGATTAAATGACAGTGTGTGTTTGCTCTTTTTCACTGCCTGATGTCCGGTGTTTCTTTGTTTGCATGCTACATGCAAAACGAAAGAGTTCAAATGCAAATCCTATAAAAATAGTTGTGTTGGTGATAGTTTCAGAGCTGTAACTGTTTGACGTGCTGTGCCGTGTCCAGGTGATGTGGACGCCTGATGACAATAGAGCCCAGGTGAGACAGCTAGCACCTGATCTGATCCAGACCTCAGTGGTGAAACGGAGCCCTCAAGTTCTGGAGCAGTCCGGCATCAGCAGCCTGCTGCTCAGATACAACCAAGTCAGTAGAGAGGAAATCAGGTAGGAAGACACACAACCCTGATGTTGTGTTATCAGTCTGCAGCTTCAGCACAAAGATTTATAAGTGCCTGAATGTTTTCCTTTTTTTTCTCCACCTTTTTTCCCAGGAACTTTTCCGAGGCCCACATCAATCTCACCCTCTACACAGTCAACGAGCCCTGGCTGTACTCGGTGCTCTGGTGCAGCGGGGTGTCATCAGTCTCCTCAGAGGCCTCGCATGTCCTCCTAAAGGTGCCTTACCCCATCTGGTTAATGGTAAGGACTCATCACACACAGTATAGTTTTATATAAGTCTTTTGGATTCACATTTTGTTTTTAAGTTAACAAAATGCGGGGGTCTGATCTTCTATTTGAATGATTTCCCCCCCCCCCCCACTTGCTCCTTTTCTGCATTAAGATTTTTTCAGACCTTTTCTGCTCTCCAAATCTTGTTGCAGACCTGTCTTAAAATATGTGTATTCAGCAGGTATTTTATTAATTTATAGAAAATCAAAGAGAATGAGACATCCCATTTATAAACTGTAAGTTTGAGCCTCTTCTTCCAACCAGCAGGCATCATGTAGATCTCTTACTGTTTAAAATTCTTACTTTTACTCATGTCTCATTGCTGGGGTTTCTCTCTAATATTGAAGGATCTTTACCTGTTTTTAATAGATGCCAAACAAATAAAAATTAAATAAAATTGTATTCAGAGCCTCAGTTATAGCAATCGCTGATTAGCTTGGCTCTATCCTGCTTCAATCAGTGGTCCTTAAGATGCTACTACAACTCGAGTGGAGCCCACCTGTATCTTAATTTAATTTGGACCTAATTAAGGGAGCTACTAGATACATGCATATTGTAAAGGCTGCGAGGGCCCTCTTTAACCTCCCTCTCCTTCAGCTTCATCCTCTCTTTGACTAAATTAGATTTTACTGATTGATATCAAAAGGAGAGCCTAGCTTTGAACTGAACTCCTGTTTGCTGTAGTGTCATTCTTTTCTAGTTCAGTCTTCCTGTTGAAACTTCTCAACATGGGCAGCCTCTCTGCTATCCTTCCACTCGCCCTCATATGTGCAGCACGCCAAACCGCTCCCCCCATCTGTGGCACCATACGGGAACTCTGCATGACAACATGTGGACATGACCTCCAGCTCACTGCTACGGCTCAGGGACAGTTTAGGCTTTCGTAGCATCTGCGGCGCTGTCTGTTAAACCCAACTGTGAAAAATATCCTCTCAAATATGCTATGAGTTGTAATTAAGACCAACAGAAGGTAATGGGGAAGGAAGTAGAGATTTGCATTTATGTTTGTAGTAAATTATAATGTTGACAGTGTCAGTGTTTGTTTTAAAAAAAACGCCAATTTAAGGGGGTTAATCAAGAAAAAAAACAGTTCAGCACAAGTGTAACTGTATTCTTTGGCATATAGCGCCACCCTGTGATGGATCCTGCTGTAAATGACTTCAAGACAAAACTCAGATCTATCATGACTGTGTGTGTGTGTGTGTGTGTGTGTGTGTGTGTGTGTGTGTGTGCGCGCGCTTCCAGAGACCAAATGAGTACTGCCTGGCGTGGGTGTCCGCAGACCTCATCTCCTTCGCTGTAGTCATAGGCATATTCATTTTCCAAAAGTAAGTACACACACAGCAGTGAGATCATTAAAGCGAGCTCTTACACAACAGCTCATGTTCCTCTATTTTTCTGCAGGTGTGTTATTCCTCTTTCACACTTAAATACACTCATTACTGCTAATTGACAAACACATTTACTCAGACGACATCTCCCTGTCTGGAACACATCAGCAGCTCATACATAATGATGCTGTTTTTTAATCAAATGAGAATCCCTTTAAAACCCATTTTGTTTTGTGGCATTATAAGCCGTCATGTGTATTTCTGTTGTGTCCCAGGCCGGAGAAGGGTGAATGTCTTTATATAAATGCGTTTTCTGTTTGCTAACCCCTTCACATTCCCTGCCCTGCGTTTCTGATGTGTTAAAAGTGCTGTTTGTTTGTTTCTCTGATGACCCCAGAGACAGATGGCCTGTCCTCCTGTCATCACTGGCACCAAGGGCATTGATTTATTTATTAATCTGTTCCACAATAAGGGTCCAAAATGAGTCTGCTCTGATTATTGGAGCTATTTAATAGCTTCTGCTGGCTTCTAAACTGATCTCTTGTCTCCCGCCTTCTTTTGTCCTTTTTTCTCTTTCCGCCTCTTCCTCGTCCTTTCTCCTCTGCCTGACGTGCATGCTCTTCTTCCTCCTCCTCCTGCTGCATTCTGGCATCTTCTCTCAGCTATCACATGATCAGGTAACTGGGTCGCCTCTCCTGACCCAAAGTCTTCTCTCCTTTCACCACCTTCCTACCTTTCATAATCTTTACCCATCATTCCTTTGTTTGATGCATCGTTGATTTCCTCTTTTTTTTTCTGCTGTTACTATATCATCCATCTCATCCAGATTTTTTCTCTCCACCTTAGTTCCACTTCCTATATTTATTCTCACCTTCTTCTCTGTCTCACCTGAATGGATGTATTGCGCTGCTGCTTTCCTCTATGACAGCGACGACTTCTCATCCTCATTCTCCTCTGCTAAACAAATGAAATGTAATCTACCCACACAGCACAAAAAATAGTCCACAGTGAGAGTTTAAATGTCTCATCAGTCTTAATAAGTTACCGACTAAATGTCCAAAATGAATTGGAGCTCTCGATTCATCCAGGAAAGGCCTCAGGATTGGCTTTCTGAATCCTGGCTTGTTTGTGTCTCTAAATGCTTCTGTGCATTAGTCACAGTTCATTGTGACTAATGCTTCCAAGTTAATTGAATTGAAATCGGGGCTGTTTTCATTAAAACGAGGATGAAGTTGTGGCAGGCAAGAAATGAAATCAGTGGCCTGTCAGGAACGATAATCTAGCAAAGACAAAACAGTGCTAAACCGCTTGTATAAGAAAATAGTTGATATGTTTTCAATTGTTAATGAAACATTGGGGTTTTTTTTCTATGAGACATGTGACAGTATATTTTAAGAGAACAGAGCAGTGAATATTGACTCATTAATTAAATGATCATTTTGCCAGCAAAATGCACATCTTTATTGAAATACGTTCAAGTGTTTCCAAAGATAAAGGGGTGATGCTTTTACCTTATTACTCACAATTAACCTCGATCAGTACCTATACATACATACATATATACACACTATGAGAAGTCTGTTGTTTTTTGTTCGTTTGTTCTTTTTTTCCCCAAATTGAACGCCATACTTCATACACTTGACCGACATCGGTTGGATGTTGCATCATAGCATGTGAAGTATCAAACAAACAATTTCTGAACAAAATTTGTTCCAATCTGTACATTTTAACAGAGTGAGGCATGCACACAGACCAGGTTTCTTATTACAATTTGAAATGTCCAGGCTGTAATCCAGTGCAGCTGTCTTCAGGGTGTCCTTGTGTCTCGTGGTGATTTCTGATCCAGCCTGTGCAAACACTGCAGGTATCGGATGAGCGGTATGCGCAGCTACAACCCTGAACAGATCATGCTGAATGCTGCGGTCAGGAGGTCCAGTGGAGACATCAACGTCATGAAGGAGAAACTTATTTTCTCTGGTAAGGCCCGTGCAGTGAAATAAAGAAAAATTGAATTATTTACCAGTCTTTATTTATTTATTTTTCATTAATTTGGGCTCTTGAACCTCCGCAACCTGTTTTTTAGACTTCAGGTGCCCAAATAGCATGCCAGTCCATCCCAGCATGCATCTGAGTGTCTGTAAATCTTCTTGGTCCTCCTCTTCCTCTCTTCCATGTTGAAGGTCAGCCCCAGTAACAGCCTCCCTCCTACATCCTCCGTGTGATGTTCAGCACCTTTTCATCCTTCACAAGCAGTGACTTCTTCCTTTGTTCCCTTCATCCGTTGCATCCCTTGTTACCTTCCACCTCTCTGCCTACTTTGCCCTTTTTCCTCATCATCATACCTGCATCCATCCATCCCTTCACACATCTGTCCTCCCCCAAAATCCTGCCAGGGGAAAATCATGTCCCAGTCTGTGTAGACAGCCCTTGGTACTGGAGGTCAAAGGTGAGTGATGTAAGTGCCAGCTGTTTGTGGTTCTTTATCATTTTTCCAATCCTTCAGTGTTGTTAACCTGCTGGGGAAAGGTGTTTGTGTAAATGAGATGAGGTCAGAAAGAGCTGGAAATGTATCATTGATACAAATTGTTTTGTTTCTTGTCCTTTGGCGCCCTCCAGAGGTGAGGAGCGGAGTTGGCAGTGCCGAGGAGCTCTATGGAGACAGCTACGACTACTACGGCAATCAGGGCATCAGCCAGTGATCTCGGCCTCACAGGATGAAAACAACACTACTCAGCGATCCCGTCATTCCAGTTTATCAGTGTAAAAGTGTCTCTCTGCCTCTGCTGCCCCGATTAACCGGCAGACTGCAGTATCCTTGTGTATACTCTGTAAATAGTACCATTTTTCCTCCCCCTCACACATACTGTACAATTTCAAAGAGCACTTTGTACTGATTGAATCTTGTCTCCTCCTCCTCTCACTTCCAAATGTTCCTCTGAGTTCCCATGGCCTGTTTCTTTACAGAGTTCAACTTTCTTTATTTCTTTTGAGCTAATTTCCCAAAGCAGTTCATTCTTTTAAGCGCCATCAGATATTCTTCAGATGAATTTTATTTTTTATTGTGGCTTTATCGCAGCATGGGGCTAATAGCTTACAGCCCATTGTATCCTGCCTCCTGGCAGCACTATGCTGTAGTTTATAGTAAACTTACCAACAGTAATGTTTATATTTAAATAGAAAAGAAAAAAAAAACTCAGAAGCTGTTTACAGAAGTCCTGCCTTCTCCTCCAGGTGACAAACTCACATGGTGTATGTAAGAGAATTATTTTGATAGAGGCTCAGAGCCCTGCTGTCCTACCAATGCATGTAACTCTAAGTATCCCTTCTACTGACTCATGTGAGCTGTGCTCCCAGTACAACTGGTTTAAATGGTCCGGGGGGGAGACTTGTGCTCCTGTTTTTATGGTGAATGTACATTTTTAATGTGTATTGTGTGTTTTCTGACTGGGTATATAAATGTGTGCAGTGCTGAGTGTGTAATTGTATGTAAAAGGTGACTAATGCGTGAGATGCTCTAGCCCACAAAGGCATCTGAACTTACGTGACAGTTTAGCAATAGTCTGGTCCTATTAGATTTCACTTCCTGTACAGCCTTTGAGTTCAAGTACAGCAGTCAAGTCTTGTGGTATTTCAGTGCAGACGAACAAAATGCATCTAAAGCTTGGTTGCTGGTGTGAAGTTTCACACCAGCAACCAGCACGACCGCTGTGAGGTAGATGAAGTGGGCGCCAAATGTGAAAATGAAGCTGCAAGTTAATCTAAGGGATACGACTGGTATCAGAACAGGTCAAGAGATGGATTACCTTTGTGTTTTCTTATGTTGGGTATTACTGTGCCTCAGAAGCAAATGTTATAAACTCTAAATTAAAGTCTTAAGGAATGAAATAAAACAAAGTGTTTTGGGTTATATTTCCCTTCTTTTCTCTTGCACAGCTTTTGAAATCATGTTTGTCTGGATAAGTGTA